CTGGCGAAGTTTCGCCACGTCGCCGCCGGATGCCCCCTCGTTGCCGCATCGTGCGTTGGCTGGGTCCGGCGAAGTTCGCCACGTTGCCCCTGGAAGCCACATCGTTGCCGCATCGTGCGCTGGTTGAACAGGGACCGACCGTCCCGGTATTCCTATAGTCCTACCACGAAATGTTCTTAGAACCCATAAATGTTCTAAGAACAAAAAACAATGTTCTTGGAACATAAAACCCGATCTGGTAAAACAAGACAGACTCCGCCAGAAATGTTCTAAGAACATTTCGTGGGAGCCACAAAAGGTTTTTAGAACAGTGTTTGGTAGGGCTATAGGCGAGACAGGACGCTTCGCCACTGCTTGAACTGGGTGGGTCCTGCGAGGTTTCGCTCTGGTGCCGCCCGTTGTCACCTCGTTGCCGCAGCGTGCGCCGGGTGGGTCCTGCGAGGTTTCTGGTGCCGCCCGTTGCCACCTCGTTGCCGCCCACCGCACTTGGGGATTCCTGCGAGGATCCGCGTCTTTGTAAGCAGATTGCAGCCTCGTGCTCTGGGGAGCCCGGCGGGACTTCACACCGCATAGCTTCCACCACCATCGCGCACACCTCGTAGCGAACACGACGCTGTTCACGCAGCACAACTCACAAAGCAGCGCTGCCACCTCCACAGTGCAATAGCTTACTGTTTGGGGCCCGCGCTGGCTAACATTGACGACTCGTTTTGATATGGCTTGGGTGCATCATCCTCTTCACCGGTTTCTGCATCCCAGAACCCGTCGAGCAGCTTCTCATCTCAAGCAGTTGCTTGCTCAAGGACCTGGGGCCCAGGGAGGGCCTCACGAGGACGACCAACGAGGGGGGAATCTTCACGATCCCGTTCAGAACCTTCAGGGCCCCTCTCCCTCGCGCCGAATGGCCCTGTGCTCCTCGCGTAGAAAGCGATGTGATCCTTGGCGGCGCGCGCAAGCGGGTGGCTCGGGGGGCGGCGGGCTTCTCGGATGTACCCAGAAGTTGCCCGAACGCCGCGCGGATTCCACGGATCGGCTCTGGAGGCGCCACCAAGGGGCTTGGCAAAAATCCGAGAAACCCGCGCGGACCTCGCAAAAGCTTACCCGCAGGTCGGAAGAAGTGGGTAGATCAATGAAGTAGGAAGGTGTAGGAAGTATATTGGGCTTCTACCCGCCCCTTGAAGAGAAAGGAGGGAAACCACTCGTAGTAGAAAGGCGCCTAAAGTATACGACGCCCCCCTGGGGAGTCCCGGAGCCCAAAAAAGCCCAAAGACGGGCCAAGAGTGCCCCAAGAGGCCCCAAAGACAGTCCAAGAGAACCCCGAATCGCCGAACGATCTGTCCAAGACGCCTTGACGGCCTCCAGACGGCCCAAGAGGCCTGCAAAGCGCCCCAAGAGGCCTCCAGGAGCTTTCCCACGAGAGCCCCAAGAGGCAAAAATCATGGATTTCCCATAAGATTTTAACAGACTGTGGCGTTCTTGCCTCTTCCGCTTCCCGACGCGCCAAGACGGCCCAAGAGGCCCCCAAGATCGCCCCGAGACGGCCCAAGGGGCCCCCAAGAGGGTCCCCTAGCGGCCGATGAGGGCTCCAAGACGGCCCAAGACGCCTCCAAGACGGCCCAAGAGGCCCCCAAGATTGCCCCAGTACAGCCCAGGCGAGCCCCAAATTGCCCAGGAGGCCTACAAGAATGCCTCGCGACTGCGCAAGAGGAGCCCTGGACGGCCCAAGACGGCCTCAAGAGAGCCCCAGGCTGTCCCAAGAAAGCCTCTGGCCCCCTCCTCTTCCTCCTCCTCCTCCTCCCTCCCCCCCCCCTCTGCTCTCCCTCCTCCTGCTCTCCTCTGCCTCCTTCTCCTCCTCTTGCTTCTCCTCCACATCCTTCTCCCCCCTCCTCTTCCCTCATCCACCTCCCCTACCCTTCCTCCGCCTCCCACTCATCCTCCTCCCCCTGCCCCCCCTCGTTTTCATCTTCGTCGTTCTCGGGGTCGGCGGCACTGGCCGTAAGGCCCTCGCAACATTGGGATCTGGGAGTCCGACCGCCGTGTACAATTATCGGGCGTTGGCAGAACTGGGTTTAGTGGAACCTGGTTTAGTGATCTGTACCAAGGGCGCCCCCCCGTCCCATTTCCACTAACAGGAACTGCCGTCACCCGAAAAAACACCAGCTATGGCAAACCTGGTCTGGCGATTCTGGCCAATTCAAAGGCTCCGGGGCCCTACCACTGACCGGGTCCCCTTACCCGGGGTCCTGGCTATACGTACCCGGAAGTATCCCATTCGTCATATGCGATGTGCGCGAGGCCAGGATCCGACCCCCATGCTCGGCGGACGGACGCACAACGCGGCTGACACTCTTCCGCCGCCGCGGACGCCTGCCCCACGCCGGCTCGAACAGTTGCACCCTCACGCTGGCACGCCAGGGTGTAGCCTTTCGAGTAGCCAGGATTCGCCCTCACTGAAGGGGCCCTGGGACACACAAATAAATACACACAGATAAAAAGATGCCCCCTATGTTCTCATATCTTCTGGGTTTTGGCCTTCCCCCCCACTTCCCATAGTTTCCCCTATTCTTTCTGGGGAATCGCCGCTTCATTGTGTCTGTGTGGTTTTCCTTTCCCTCCTGACTCATGCCCGGCGGGCGAACAGCACAGCACTGCACAAGCCCTTCCGCCGCCGGGGGGGCGCCCGCCCCACGGCAGCTGGAGAAAAAATCCCGCCGGCCCTTCAGGGGTGATTTTTTAGTAGGAGGCAAACGATCCTACCTCGCTTTCGACCACCCTCGCTTCCAAACGATACCCTAGCCGTCGCTCGGACGTCCATTCCCTGTTTTTTTCGGTTTCGTGCGTGGCTTTTTCGCCAAATGATCAAGGATGCTCCTCGATGGTCCTCGCCGAGGAAAAAACGCACACGTCCGAGCGATGCCAAGAACCAAACGATACCAGGCTGCGGCCCGCACCAGACAGGTCGCTCGACCAGGAGGCGCGTGGCATGACGTGGTTTTGTCTGGAAGCGAAAGCGGAGTAGGTAATTCAAGCTCTGATTTAGGGTGTTTCGTCTTCCGCCCCCTTCTTCCCCTTTCGGGGGAGGGGCTTACCCCTCCCCCCACACCCTCCCCTGGACCTGGACGGGGCGTTCCGCGAGCGGTCGAAGCGTCCAAAACGGCCTCGGCGAGGAAGCCAAAATCATTGGTTTTACTTGGGTTTGGGCCCCATTTTGGCCTCTTGGGGGGCAACGCTAACTAAGGACCCCCCCTTCTTTGATCGATCTTCTCTGAGATGGCCCCACGAGCGCTCCCAAGGCTCCCGAGGGTGCCCCAAGAGGGCCCGAAGAGGTGGCCAGGAGGCCCCAAGAGGCCTCCAAGAGGCCCCCAGGAAGCCCCCAAGAGGCTCCCAAGAGACCCCCAAGAGGCACCCCAGAGGCACCCAAGACGCTCCAAGCGGCCTCGGCGACAATGCCAAAACAATTGATCTTACCAAGGTTTTGGCCACATTTTGGCCTCCAGGGGGGGGGGGGGCACTGCTTTAGATGACTCCAAGAGCGCCTGGGAGAGCCCAAGATGACCTCCAAGATGGCTCAAGATGTCCCAAGATGCCTCAAGGTGGCTCACACGATGCTCCAAGAGGCCCGAAGACCGCTCCAAGACGGCTCCAAGTGGCCAAAGAGCTCCCCCAGGAGGCCCCGAAGAGGCCAAAATCCTTCCAAAACCTTAGGAGCATCACAGTTGTTGGCTTTCTCGCCTTTTCGATGGCCATCCGAGGCCTCAAGATGGCTCCAAGATGGCCCAAGAGGTCTCCAAGAGAGGCTCAAGAGAGCCCCAAGACGGCCCCAAGAGCGCCCAAGAGCGCTCCAAGAGCGCCCCAAGAGGCGACTTTTGGGGCTCCCGAGGGGCAACGCTAATTAATGCTCCCCTCTTGACTGATCGATGTCCACCGAGATGGCCCCAAGAGCGCTCCCAAGAGCGCTACAAGAGAGCCCCAAGAGGCGCCCAGGAGGCCCCAGGAGGCCCCAACAGGCGCCCAAGAGGCCTCCAAGAGGCCCCAAAGAAACCCCCAAGAGGCCCCAAGAGGCTCTCCGAGGCACCCAAGACGCTCTTAGAGGCGTCTGGGACCGCCAAGAGACCCCCAAGACGCTCCAAGAGGCCTCCACTGGGGGACCCTTCCTCTGTGTGCTGCCCACTTCCCTGATCGAGGCAATTCCTCTGGGCATCGTTTCTGGATCCAGGGCGTACACTACCCGCCGGTCGGAAGAAATAGGTCAAGACATGGAGTAGGAAGGCGGGTCAAGCAGGGTTGGGCTCAGGCCCTCCCAGAGAATTGCAGAGCGCAGCAGAAGCATGTCGGCTCTTGATGCAGGAAGGCGCTTGACGCTGTTTGGGACCTGGGAGTCCAAGAGCATGCGGTTTCATCTCCACCGCCCTGGGTCAAAGCTGCGGTCGAGATACAGCAGGGCACCACGGCGAAGGTCCAGCAGGAGGACACAGGGGGGGAGGGCCGCGGACGGCCGGAGCGCCCTGAGAGCGTGAAGCACATCTGGCCGTGCCAGAGCAGGGTTAAGTCGGGCCTGTCCCCCTACAGGGGGATTTTCAACGGGAAAAAAATACAGTAAAAATGCCGCAAAAGTGTCAAAAAATACTCAAGAAATAATCCCCATACTATTTTTGGATTATTGTTTGACTATGTTGGGTTTTTTTCGTCGAAAATCCCCCTGTAGGGGGGACAGGCCCGACCTAAGAGCAGGGCCAAGTCCTTGTAGCGGCCCAGCGGCCGGCAACGGCGGAGAGAGCCATCCTGCGATCGCATCTCTCAGAACGTTTCGCCCGCTGGCCTGCCGCACGGGCAGACGCCGCGCACGGCGCGGCGCGAACCCCCTCCCCCCCCCCGTTTGGGGGGGGGGAGGCTTTCATAGCTTTTCGCCCGCTGGCTTGCCGCACGGGCAGATGCCGCGCACGGCGCGGCGTGAACCCGCTCTCCCCCCCGTTTGGGGGGGCTGGGGGGGCTGGGGCCGCCTGCTCCTCCGGCGCACCGCCCAGCAGCCCCCGCAACCCGCGCAGCACCTCCACGCGGGCGGCGGGCCACGGCCCGGCGGCCGAGGACGAGCGGCGGCGAGCGGCGGCGACGGCGACGACCACGACGGCGGCGGCGACGACGGCGGCGGCGGCGGCGGGGGCCGGCTTTTCATCCTGAGTCGGTTCCTGGCAGCCCTGGGGCCCGCAGCCGACCTCCAGGGGCCGGCCTCGGGATGCCCCCCGGAGTCCCAAGGGCCCTTCGGCGCCCTTGGAGCGAGGGGGGACGAGAGGGGGAGCCGGCTCAGGGGGGGAAGCTCCTCCTCCTCCTCCTCCTCCTCCTCCTCCTCCTCTTCTTCCTCTTCTTCTTTTTCTTCCTCCTCCTCCTTCTCCTCCCCTCCTCCCTCCTCTCCTCCTCCTCACTCCTCCTCCTCCTCCTCCTCCTCCTCCTCCTCATCCTCCTCCTCCTCCTCCTCCTCCTCCTCCTCCTCCTCCTCGATGGGCCCCCGATAGCGGAATCCTCACGTTCCTGGGCGGGCTGGGCAGTCTGGCCCCGTCGGCAATGAGTGGGCGATTGGAGGGTGTGCCCTCCCGGGACTAATCTTCCCTTGAAGCTGCCCCGGGCGCTGGAGACAGGGAAAAGGCTCGGATCTGGACCGCCAGTTCATCTGCGCCCCGTTGGCGAGGAGGATCCCTCGCCGCATCGTCGCCGTCGGCCCCAGGCAGTCCTCCTCGCCGTCGCCGCCGGTCGATCCTGGGTGTCGTCGTCGTCATCGTCGTCGTCGTCCGCCGGCTCTAAGTCGGCCCATGGGCCTCTAGCCTCTCCCCAGGTCCGCCCTGGCAAACAGGGCAGACGCCGAGATCGCGGAGAAACCTCTGGCGCCCCCCCCCTCCTGGTTTCGGGGGTCGTGGCTCGGCTCCCCGGAGGGCCGTCAGCGAGGCGGCAGCGGCTGGAAAAGGCACCTCCAGGGGCTAGAAGCCCGACGGGGACGCGCGAAGACGACTAGAAACCTCGAACCTCGAGCCTCGACCCTCCTCCTCCTCCTCCTCCTCCTCCTCCTCCTCCTCCTCCTCCTCCTCCTCCTCCTCCTCCTCCTCCCCCCGCCCCGCCCTCGCTCGGCGCCCTCGCGTTTGACGGGCCCGCCGGCCGAGCCGAGCCCCCCCCCGAGCCCGTCCGTCGAGGCCGCCGCCCGCCACCACGGCGCCGTCGCCCCGAGGCGGGCGGGGGAGGAGGGAGAGGAAGGGGAGGAGGCTGAGGGGGGATTCTGATGATGATGCTGATGATGATGATGATGATGATGATGATGATGGTGATGATGCTGATGATGATGACGGATGATGAGGATGATGATGCTGATGATGACGATGATGCTGATGATGATGGTGATGATGATGAGGATGATGATGATGACGATGATGGTGATGATGATGAGGATGATGATGCTGATGATGACGATGATGGTGATGTTGATGATGAGGAGGACGACGGCGGGGAAGAGGAGGAGGAACAATGAAGAGCACGAGGGGATGATAAGGTGATGATGATGTTGGCACTGTTGCTGATGATGATGACGGTGATGAGGATGATTGTGCTGATGATGATAATGACAATGATGATGATGCTGCTGATGATGATGTTGTTGATGACGATGACGCTGACAATGATGATAATGATGATGGAGATGCTGACGAAGGTGGCGATGATGAAGATGGGTGGTGGTGGTTGCGTTGATGATGGTGGCGATGTTTCCCTCCCGACGGACCAAAGCAAAGGACGAAATGGCAACGGTCATGAAGCATGTCTTTCAACAACGACATCAAACTGCAGCTTGGAATTCACCATGACAAATCGATGGCTTCGCGGCAACAAAACAAGCGCAGAAGGTGGATGCCAAGGGGAGGGGGGAGGAAGCACACATGCACCAGCACGGACGGGGTAGGGGGGAAGAGAGGCCAACGAAACCACAAGAAAGGCGGCCGCTCCAAACGGGGCGGATTGCTGGCAGATTCTGGTCCACGACATTCGGGGCAACAGAGCAGGCTCCAGCGAAGCAAGAGGCGAAGGACAAAACAAACCAGCAAGAGGCCAGGACGAGCCCACGACTTTACGGACATGCTGGATGGCAGCTCGGAGGCCCTCCTGGGCCCGGGGGGGGGCTCCGGAGGCTGGCTGGCCCCCGGTGGGGCACCGAAGCAGCAGCGGGCCCTCGAGGGCCCGAGGCGCTGGAGAACGTGACGGGCTCTATAGAGCAACAGCGGGCCCTCGTGGGCCCGAGGGAATCTGGAAGGTACAGTCGGGGCGTTGACCTAAGGAACCCTAGATAAGGAACGAGGCCCCTTTATCCATAAGTTAAACTTCGATTTCCGATCGAAAACATAAGGAACACCTGAGGCAAGCTGTGAAACACGTAAGGAACGCGGAGCCCCTCCCCAACCAAAAGGGTTCCTTCTTCAGGGCCCCGACTGTAGACCCTGGGAGGCCTCTGCAAACAGTGTCTGCACTCGGGCACCGTTCCCTCAGCAGTGTTTGCACAGAGGCTGCACTCCCCAAATAGTGCTTGCACCTGCGGCTGAGACCTGACGCCTCATTCCCCAAGGTATGGTTGCACGTATGCCCCATTCCCCAATCAGCGCTTGCACTCAGGCCCCGTTCCCCAAAAAACGCGTGCGGTGTGGCAGCATTCCCCCACATGGCTGTGTTAACGAATGCGCGCGCAGCGGAGGCGCGCGCAGCGAAGGTGCACACCATTCACGGACGAAGCCCGCATGGACCTTGCAGCTCGTGCTAAGTCGTGCATAAGAATTGCGAATACTTGAAGACGTAGGAGAGTGCTCGGATCCTCGCAGCGAGACCAAAGGACAACATCTCGCATTGAGACCAAAGGACAATGAGCCATGAAACCCTACGGAAATGAGCATCAATTGAACCGCTAGCTCCTGCGGCGCTGCCTTATCGCCTGCGGCGGGGCGGTAGGGTCAGAATTTGCAGCTGGAGCGCAACTCCGTTTGTGACCATTGCCCGTCAGCCTCTGGATCACAATCTTGTGGATGAGGTCGCGCAAGTGGGAGTGATCGGACATGATCCTGATACCATGGCGGGTGAGATGGGCCCCGATCGGGCAAACCGAGATTCGGGTCTGATCACAAGCCGCGGCCACAGGTCGACCGCAAGCCCAGCAAGCCCAACTCGCCGAATCACCAGATGTGTCCACGATCAACGTGTCAATGTCGTCGAACTCGGCCTGGGTCGCCTCTGGAGATGCAGTGTCTGAATCGGTTCCTTTGCCTCGGCCTGGGTCGTTCCTGGGGCCTCGGCTTGCGTCACTTCAGGAACTTCTGGAGATGCAATGTCGAATGGGCCTCAAACAGAAGCCAATCGCTGGGAAGCAAACACATTCAAAACAGGTGTGCAACATCAGGCCGATGAAATCGGTTGAACCAAAATGGCAACGGAAGGTGGAGGTACGGGTGCAAACTACGCGATGAAATCGACGCAGTGCAATCCATGTGGTTGTGGTGCGCACTAGATCGTCTACGTGGATTGCGTTCTCAATGTCTTTGTGGAGCTATCTACGTGGTGCACTCTATGGCTCTACGTGGTGCAATCAACGTGTTGCAATCTACGCTGTGTAATCGATGCTGAACACTATTTCTGGAGCAATGTACGTTGCGGACTATATGCTGTGGAGTCTTTGTTCTGAAGTCTACCGTGTTGAGCACTGAAGCGAACTGCGTTGTGGAACCTGGGTGGGGTAATCTACGTGGGGCAATCTACGCGGCGCGATATGTGGTGCAATACGTTGTGGAACCAGAATCCGCCCCTCGGAGACTGTCACGAACCGTTGCCATACCTATCAAGATGGTCCGAACCTGTTTCCGCACATTTACCCCACGGGGGAACCACTTGGGCCCCGATGGTCCGCGAAGGCACACCCGCCGGCCCCCCGCGCCGCCGGCGGGCGGGGCACCGTCGCGCCAGGAGCTTCAGCCTCAGCCTCCTTCGGAGCGACACCCCCGCGCGCGCGCGCAGCGCAGTCGCGCGCGAGGCTGGGCGAGGCGCAGGCGCTGCCCTGTGGCAGGCGATCGGGCTGCACTCTCACCCGGCCCAGGTGGGCCGATGCATCTGCGCGCGGCGCGCGCAGAGGCAGATGCGCGATGGCGCCTGCTCGCAGGGGGGGGGGCGACGCATGCCAGCGAGCCGTCGTCGAGTGGGGTAGCAGGCTCCGCCAAGCTCTAGTCGCAGCAGCCTTCGGGCTGGCCGGAGCTGGCGGGCACCGTGCGCCCGCTGCGCCCCTGCTTTGGTGGCGAGGCAGGGGAGTCCCTCGACCGCCGGATCGCCCTCGGACTTGGGGGCCAGCGGGCGCGGACCCGCCGTCCCATCGATGACGCGCCCCGTCTTTGATCGGCAGCATCCGGCGAGCAGCCCGCCGACGCAGGTCAGGGCCCACCGGGGCCCTCCCCCGGCCTTGCACCAGACGACCCGAACGATGCGAAAGGGGGCGGCCCTCGCATGCTCCGCGAGATGGACGATCTGGGCGCGGTCGATCGCGGCGCACTGGCCCACGTGCACGGGGTGGGCCCAGGCGCAGCCCGGCGACCGGCATAGGAGCGCCGTGCCCGCGGCGGTCAAGTCCTGACGCCGCTGGCCGCTGGTGCAGTTGAGACCTCGCTCACCCGGATGTCGAGTCCGCGCCCGTCCAGGCGCGGCCAGCAGGCGAAGTCGCACTTCACCCAGGCCTCGTGCCCATTCTTCCGCAGTAGCGGGTGGTGGGCTGGCGTGCGATGCCGCGCCCGCGCGCGCACCCTCGTGTAGCAGTTCGCATCCGTATCCCCGCCCATGCGGGGCCCTCGCCAACGGGCGCACAGCGGCGGCGGAGGCGGGGGAAAGCGCTGGCAGCACTGCGTGAGCTGGCACCAGGTCCAGCGGGGGCCCCTCTCGCACCAGTTGACGGGCAGCAGCGCCGCAGTGGGCCGAGACCCCGTGGAAGGTGGCCATGGCCATCGCGATGCAGCACGTCGCGGCATTCCATCCATGGCCCAAGGCTGGCAGC